TGACGATTCCTTTTTCAAAATACCATACACAGATATGAAATATTTTGTTATACTTTATGTAAATTCACTCTGGCAAATTTATTTGGATTTTTGTGATACAAGTAAACTTTATTCTATACAAAACAAAGTCAACAAATCATCTGATTTTGGCTTGAAACATCAAGACGAAGTGATAATTTCCAGAATACGTATTGGTCATTCAAAAATAACGCATGAATATTTACTTACTAGAGAATTGCAACCAGAATGTATATCATGCGAATGTCCGTTAACTATCAGTCATATTCTTTTGGAATATACCGATTTTTCTCCTACTCGAAGTAGACTTTTTAATAATGTGCAAACGATGCATGAACTATTCGCAAATATAAGTGTTTTTACAATTTTAGCATTTTTACATGAAACTGATTTTTACTGCAAAATTTAAAATGGTGTACTTAACATTTTTTTCTATATATTATAACTGTTTACATATTTTTAAATATTGAGTCCGTCGGATTTTCAAGGATAACAACCCCCTTGGTACGTAAAAAAATCGTTTCTCTGGTTTTCGAAAAAGAGTAGGCTCGCTGGGGGCCGCCAGAGAAACCGAAAATTTCAAAAATGGAAATATTCACTTAATTTGATCGCTGAAATATTGCCGACTCAGCGTTAAACAATAATCGATCAATCAAACAAAGTTCAAAAGAAGCTCGTTTCATATGTCATCAAACCCCAACAGGGTTTTGATAACATACCACGGGGATGAAAAGCTTTATGTGCCCATTCCACATGGAAAAAGCAAAAACAGCGAGGATGAATATGCAAGGTCAACAAAATCACTCCTCACGGAAATAAAGCAAACCCATTCAAAGCCAATGAGAGTGTATCGGAAATTAAGTTCCAAGTCAGATGTAGACGGAGAAGATCAGAAACCTTAGGCAAATTAAGAATCACCAAACGAGAACAAAAGGGGAATTAAGCAAGGATGATATCTACAACTTTATTCAACTTGCTTACCACTTGGAAGGATCTGTTGCAGAAGTCACCGTATACCCCGATTTACTAACAATTTTTGCTCTCCCCGACATTATGAATGCATTTATAGAACTACTGCAGAGTGAAACAGATAAGCCTGTCAGTCTGGTATATAATACTTCTTTCAACTTGGTTATTTCTATGTGTCACCACTTGTGTTTCGTCATGTCCTGTTCGAAAACACACCATGGGTTCCTCTGGCATTTCTGTTGCACGACAGAAAACTCCAGGAGTGTCATAACCGTCTCTTTGAATTCCTGTCGAAAAAGGTTCCCATCCTTAAAACAAAGAAAATCCCTTTCATAACCGATCATGAACCAGCTCTAACTAAGGCAGTCCAGATGTACTTTCAAAATATTACTGTGCTACATTGTTGGAACCATCTTAAACGAGATTTCAAAGAAGAATTGCGGAAACTTGGGGCAGATTCAAATGAAACTAGTGCGTATCTGGCAGACTGGCGAAAGATGGCTCAGTGCGAGACACAAAGTCAATTTGAAACTTCTTATGATCTTACTGCAGAGTGAGCTGAGAAAGAAAAACATATTTTCTGACACACTCTTGCAGATGGATCATACAGGGGTTCCCTACACTATATGATCCTTTACTCTGGCATCACTAATAATGCATCAGAAAGCATCAATGCGGTACTCAAAAGAATGACTGGCTGGCAAGAACTTCCCGTGGACTCAATGCTTCTTAGTTTGTTTCATCTGCAGAACTTCTACTTTGTGGAAATCCAGCGGGGGCGAGCTGGAGTTGGCAAATATAAGTGAATAAGAAATACAGAGAGGCTCAACTCGACAAAGATGAACTTGTTATTGCAAATAAAATCGTAAACCCGGATGAGATCATTATGTAAAATCATCCATCTCTGACGTCATTTCAAAGCCATTGCCCACCAAGAAAACAAAGGAACCTGAGATAAAACAGTCGACAGAGAGTAGCGAAAACGAATTATATGAGCCCTCTCAGCCAACTTAGCTTCAGACAGAATTGAACTGCTTTGAACAGTACAGAAGTCGTAGAGGCTTCTTCTGCAACTCCTTACAAAGACAGACGAATTTTATTCTCTTTGATGTTAATTATGTTTTCTGCTAATCTTGGTAGAGATATTTTTATATCAATACATCAACAAATTATATCTTTACAAAAATTATTAATTCCCAATGCTTACCTAAATATTTAGTCGGCGAATGTAAACGACATGATTGTCGGGGTTACTTTTGTCAGTGTTTATTCCTGGTACTTACTTCATTTTTGTTATAATTTCAGCAAATGAATAAATTGTTTAAAAAACTACCGATTTTTAAGAGATTCACACATGGAAAGACAGATAGTTTTAATACATTTTATGCCATTTTTTAATCTTCTTCCCCCTTACTGCATAAAATCATAAAATCCAATAGAATCAAAACTCACAGACCACCTATATCATCCGATAGAACATCAGCAATCGATAAAAAATTAAACATTTACGTATCGAAAAGATAAAAAAAAATCAATTTTCCTAAGTCGGAGAATTACATTAATAATTACTTGTCATCTAAAATAAATATTAAGTTTTGTTTAGTTTCAAAAATATCCATTTCTAAATATTTTGTTCAGTTTTCCAAAGTCGATGAGTTGCACTAATAATTATTTGTAATCTAAAATACCTATATTTAGAAATAAATAATAAAATTAACAAAATAAATTGTAATTAGTAACTCTTAAATATTTTAACAATTTTGCGTGAACAATCGTGCGTTTGCGTAAGCAATCGTGAAAGATCGTTAATGTGTAGAATCGTGTGCGTGAAGGATCGGTCGTGTAACAGGTTTAATCGTGCGGAACACGTGTAACGTGATCGTTCGTGTAAGTTGTCAACAATAAACGTTGCAGCCACTGTATGTTGATAAACTATGTAAATGTATAACAGATGTTTGCATGAAGTGGATAAATCATGTTTGTTTCTCAGGAACGTATACACAACAGGAACGCATCTGTTGTGGGCAAACTTAGCAGAATTGCTTCTCAAGTCTTAGAGCAAGGTTTTTGTTTCTTCTCATATATTACCAAGGGACACACAGTCGTTTTTTTTGACATCACTTTCTGATAACGTGAACCAGAAGGTTGGAGTGAGACACCATGTACGAGGAGTCAATGTTAATATAATATGAATCACCTCGGCCACTTTTAGCAAACCTACAATATATATGACAGGCTTATAAGCTGGCCTCATTTTCCACCCATACAATCAGCCAATATACCTATGGCTCTTCCGACATTGTGTCTGCCAATGGATATGAAAAGTCGTCGAGTAGAACTGATTTAAACCACTCAAATTTTGGAAAGTATTTGAACATGATTCTGTCCAGAAAAACTTTTAAAGAAACTGATAGCCTGTTTCCTGTCCCTCCCATAATGCTGCGCAAACGAAGGCCAGGCAGGCACTGATTTATGGTTTATCACTATAGGGACTTTCAACATGGCGGAATACAAGGTGTGTGACGTGGATTCAAATTAATCGGTCTATTTCAGAGAATTTAGCGTCGCCCGCGTGGCGCAGTGGTTAGAGCGTCTGCTCTAGAGTCGCTGAATAAGGAGTTGATCCTTACGTCGCGGGTTCGAATCCCACTGGGGGACGTGGAGACCGGTCCTACGGATGAGGCCGTATAAACCGAGGTCCCGTGTCGTAGTAGGTGCTGGCACGAAAAAGATCCCTCACTGCTCAATGGTCGTAAGTGCCGAGTATAGGACAAAATTTGCAGCTCTCCACCGGCAAGTGGTGGCGTCTCCATACGAGTGAAAAATTCTCGAGAAGGACGTTAAACAAATACAAACAAACAGAGAATTTAGCTGTATCATTTTAGATTGATGTTTACCACTGAAATGATACAGGTCTCCCATGATATTTCTTGCCCTCATTTCATGCATTATAAAATAAATCGTAATTATCTACTCCTGTGAAGCGAAAGGAGGGAGTAGAGTCCTCGCCATGCCTTTATATTATAGGATAAACACCGAATGTAAAGTCTGATATCATGCGATGAGATACGATAGTTTATCCCTTTTTTTAAGCGATTTCGGAAGAAGAGCCCAATGTGTTCAACGTGTGACTGTGAGCAAGGAAACGTGATGGACAATGAACATGATGAAGTTTATGACAAACCCAGATGAAAATCTATCATGTATCGTGTGAATATTTCAGCAAAAATATCATGCTTTAAGTTGTAAAAGCCGTTTCCCAAGGAACCATCAGATCATCAGTACACTACCATGACTCCGAGGGTATGTAAACAATGTTTTTTTTTTATAAGGATGATGTGAAACAGATTTACAAATAAATAAACACTCAAAATTCTCAGCGATTCAGTCATTTAAACCCATGTGATTTTAAAGGTCAATTCTTTCAACTGAGAAAGAATTAAATGTATGATTTTTAGTGATTCAGATGCAGTCTTCTGTAGTTAATTCACATGGTATCAAGTCAATACATAACCTGACAGACTGATAACCAAGTCCACTCAAACCTAGTATGTTGTAGTGACCTATAAGTCTGTGAGCTCAGCTACAGGCCAATACAGGGGCTCGCAAACCACGAGGGATAAGGAAAGCCATTCGTAGGTAGCAAACTTATTTATTATCATGTCGTTCCAAGTTGTTTCGTACCACACTCCTCCCCCTCATAATTTTTAAAGATGTACAATGTATTATATAGGAAATAGTCAGCTGGGCCAGAAAAATCAAGCCACATTGACTATGTAGTAATAAAACATCAAAAGGATATAAGTCCATCTTGCAACACATTCTGGGGAAAAAAATCTCATTATATGAAAATATATTAATCAATTTAAGGAGGGGGAGGGGGGAAGAAAGAAAAGATACTCAAATACATATAGATCTATTTTAAATTGACAATGACTTAATATAGAATCATCCAAAAGGCAAAAATCCTGCATCCATTTCGGTGCTCGTCGTTTTCGGGCTGGTCTCTTCTCCTAAGAAATGCAGATTTCCAGATCATCTGATAGTTCGTTCTCGTATCCTTCATTTGTGCGGCCTGCAGCATCATCTTCACAAGAATTGGACTTCAGTAAGTCCTCCTGTACTTGGTTTTGCAGTTTGGATTCCTTGTCATTGGGTTCTGGGTGAAGAACTGAATGTCGTAGTCTTTTAAGCCATAATGGTAGATCTCTATCCTGACAAAGTTTTAATCGGTCATGGTGGACCACTTTGTTTTCTTTTCTTCCTTGGATTCTGTAAAGCACATGATTAATCTTATAAATAATGACAAAAGGGCCTATCCATGGCTTCCTCAACTTTTTTGATTGGCCTATTTTGGAAGAGGTGTCCACCATATATACCACATCACCCACCTCATAGCTTCTTGTGTTTGATTTTATGTCATATGTCCTCTTCTGTCGGAGTTGTGCTTCCCCCAAGTTATCTCTTGCAGCTTGATGACACACGCAGAGGGCCTCCTCCAAATTTTCCACATATCCTGCTGGTTTTTGCACTGGCGTCTTCCTTCCTAACATTACATCTAAAGGCTGAGAGACTTCTCTCCCCAGCATCATTCTGTTTGGTGTGAATCCTGTTTGTCGATTGACTGTGACACGGATTGCCCCTGCTATTTGCTGGAGGTGCAGGTCCCAATCTTTCTGCTGTGAAATGTTTTCCATATAGCATCGGATGGCTTGGAGAACAAGACGATTGTATCTTTCGACCTGTCCATTTGAGCAGGGCCTGTAAGGGGTGGTTCTCGATTTTGTTATCTGGAGTAGTTTGCACATTTCCTGAAATAAGCGGCTCTCGAAATTCCTACCCTGGTCCGAGTGGAGCTGGAGAGGGCACCCCAATCGAGATACAAAACCTTCCACAAATGATGTTGCCACTGTCTCCGCTTCTTGATCAGGCAATGCGTAACACTCTAACCACTTGGTGAACTGATCGACTATCATTAAAATGTACTTGTTCCCTTTGTTGGACTCCACAAATGGACCCATTAAGTCAATATGAACTCTTTCTAAGGGTGCTCCAGCATGGTTTTGGCCAAGACCTGCTTTAGCATGTATGTTGGATTTCTTGTTGACATTACATACTGGGCACATTCTGACATAAGATTCACAGTCTGAACTCATTCCGAACCAGATATACTTTGATTTGACCTTCTGTAGGTTTTTTCTGCTGTCCCATATGGCCTGCTAATATGTTGTCACAAGATCCTTCCAGAACACATTTTTGTAATGACTTTGGGACCACAAGCAACAGTCTGGACACAGAGCCCTCTAGCCACTCATAGAAGAGGATACCATTAAAAATTTGTAATTGTGATGAGCAGCTCCAAAAGTATTTTATAGCTTTACTGGAAAGGGACAGGTCAAGTTCAGTTGGAACATAGTTTTCAGTCTTCCATTTAATCAAGGTACTTGTGTTTAAATCGTGCATTTGTGCATCTCTGATTCCTTCATCAGTTAAGGCAATAGCGCAGTTACAAATGTCCTTGTCTATGATGTTAGATTTTCCCTTTGGTTTATCGGTTTTTTGAAGCGTCCTTGCTGCTAGGGGTACTACATCATCCACATCCCCGTGGAAGCGTTCCCATTGAGCATGCATCCGTCGACAATAACTGCAGCCCCCACAAGGTAGTCTACTAACATCACAACCAGCATTGTAACAATCACAGGACAAATCACTTGGTGGCATTCTTGAGAGGCCATCAGCATTCTGGTGTTTCTTTCCACTTCGGTGCTGGATAGTTACATCATATTGCGACAACTCTTCCAATCAGCGAGCTAGTCGTCCCTCAATATTTTTGAAACCAATTAACCATGCGAGACTGTTGTGATCTGTGCACAAAATAAAAGGTCTACCAAGTAGATAGTATCGGTAGTGACGAGTAAATGCTACAACGGCTAGTAACTTCCTCCTAGTGACACAGTACTTCCGTTGAGTAGATGTCAAGCTCTTGCTGTTAAAGCTGATGAGGACCTCCTTACCACCCTAAATTTGCGACAGTTCTGCTCCGATAGCCATGTCAGACGCATCTGTGTCCAATATGAACATGCCATCATCTGAAGGATATCCCAGAACTGCAGGACTTGTCATTGCCTCATTGTCTTCGTTCCATAAAAATTTTGTCTTTGGTCCTGTGAGGGTGTACAGAGGTGCTGCTATCTCAGCAAAACTCTTAATGTGCTCTCGATGATAGTTAACATACCCGAGGAATGCTTCCAGGTCTTTCTTGCATTTGGGTGTTGGCCATTCTGCCATGCATTTAACACTCTCAGAAGTGACGCTGACTCCTTTTTCGGTAACCAGGCGACCAAGGAACTGAAGCTCCTTCCGAAAGAGATGACATTTTTTTGGTTTAAGATTATGACTCCTAAATCTTTGGAATACTGCTCTTAGATTACTTAGGTGCTCCTCTGAGACCTTGTAAAACTAACTGGATCACCCTTTGAAAGGTTGCAGGGCTATTGCAAGTTCCAAATGGCATTCTTACAAATTGAAATAGGCCATACCTAGTGATGAATGCCAACTTGTGCCTATCATTAGGGTCTACCTCTATCTGATAATATCCCTGTGCCATGTCAAGTGTGCTCATAAAGGCGCTTTTTCCCAGCGTGTCAAGGCATTCCTCCATGTTTGGGAGTGGGAAAGCATCTTTTCTGGTGACTTTATTAACTCCCCTAAAATCAATGCAATACCTAACAGTCCCATCTTTTTTTCGAACCAGAACTGGTGCTGATGACCACTCAGATACTTACGGAACAATGATACCCTTGTCTAGCATACTTTTCAGGTGCTCTTCTTCCTCTGTTTGGAAACCTAGTGGTGTGCGTCTCAACTTGGATTTCACCGGGTGGGCATTGCCAGTATTTATTTTGTGTTGGATTCCTTTGAACAGTCCCAAGTCAAAGTCCCCTTTAGAAAATATGTCTTGGAACTCCAGAAGAAGATGTTTAACACTTAGACTTTGCTCTGAGGTTAGACCTCTTGTTGATCTGTCTGCTAGATCTATTAAGTGGTCTGGTAATTCAACAGGAAAACTTTCATCTGTCTGGTTGTGGTCTTGCAGCTTTCCACCATGTGCAACTTGGTCCACTTCAGACACAGTCCCTTTCACAACATTTTTCTGAAGTTTGATTGGCCTTGTTGACAAGTTGCGCAGAAGAACTGGCACTTTGTCACTGTTATCAATTATAGCATGTGGTGAAAGTAATCCTTTAACATTATGACATGGTTTGAAAGCCAAGATACCAGCTATATGTTGGTCCGAGTGGCCAAGAACCTGCACTGAAGAAAATGGTTCAACTCGCACCTTTTGGCTTAATTTCACTCTAGCTATTTGAACGTGTATGCCTTTTGCATCTAGTAGGGTTGCATTCATCCTTTTGCCACCAAGGACTACCTGTATTTCATTAAGGTCAATGGTAGCCTTTTGTGCCTTTAGAAAATCCAGACCTAAGATGACAGGATCAGATATATCAGCAATAAGGACAGTCCAGTTGATGGGGTCTTCTTTTGTGTTCCCAATACAAATCTGAATGTCTTTACAGTAATTGGCCTCAATAAAATCAGAATTTCCTGCACCCTTCATGGTTACGTGTTCTCCACGAACTAAGGGTGGGGTGAAGGTGTCGGCAAAAGCTTGGCTGGTGACAGTTATCTGGGCTGCAGTGTCAACAATAGCTTGAACAGGTTTTCCGTTAATAGAGATGGCTAGCATCAAGTTATATGGATGAGTTTGGCTGTTGTCATACATCCGAATGTCGTAACTGCTTGGACTAGCCCTGGTTTCTCTCCTCGGTGATCTAGGTGAGGGGGAACGGGACCTGTGTGGCCTTTGGCATTCTCTAGCAAAGTGACCTGGTTGTCCAAAATTGTAACACTGTGTTGTCTGGGGTGCTGAAGAGTTGGAAATACTGTCTGTTTTCCGTGGTGGAGATTGTGACCTTGTGGCAAGTTGTTTATTCATTAGGGTGATGATTTTATCCACTTTAGCATTGGTCGCCTCCAGCCCACTTTTGAGTTGCGCTATTTCTTCTGAAAGTTTGTGTACTTTGCTTTTTGGTCGTATTGGTCTAACTTCAAATTCATTCAACAAACCCATGTCACTATCTATATCATCCTCTTCAAAATGAACTTTCCTCACCTCCGGCTTCTTCGCACCTAAAATTAATCTCTGATTATTGAGTGCAGCTTTAACCAATTGTAGAGCAGTCTCAAGGTCAGGAGGATCTTTGTCCATGTTTTTTTTTATTTTCGAGGCCCTTAAGGAAAGTGTCAGTGGCTATTGTTTCTTTTACACAGTCGGGGGCCTGTGGGTAACCTTCACTCGCCATCTCCTGGATTTTTTCCGCAAATTCATCAACTGACTGGTCACCTTGCTTGATGTCCTGGAGATTTCTCCTAGTTGTGTGAGGAGATCTCGTTGGCCAAATCTTGATTTCATCTTTGCACAAAGAGATGAGAAACTGCTCTGTACTTGGGCTGAACAAGTGCAGTAATACTTTAATGCTTTATCACGTAAGGATTCAACGAGGCGTTCAAGTCGTTGTTCATTGTTCCAGTTGTATCTGGTTGCTATCATGTTGAATTGTACAATGTATGGATTCCATTCTGATTTTCCGTCAAAGGTAGCCATCTTTGGTGGGGGAGCACCCATAGTTTGATAACTAGTCATGATGCTGGGCTTCTGTCCACTTCTAACTTTTTGTGTATTTCCATCTGTACTTACCATAGCAGCAGCGTTACCACTGGTCGGGCCAGACGAAAGCCAGCCACAATTAGCAGTAGCACTGTCACTAGGTAATGAGGTGTATTCTTTTTTGATGTCAATTTTAGATTTCATCCATGGGTTACCACCACCATAAACACCATGTGGAGCCAAATTACCGACAGCACTTTCATTTATTTTCAGTAGCTTTTCTTCATATGTTTTTCTCAGGTTTTCCTCAAACTGCGTTTGCATGAGTTCATAGTGTTCTTCCGAAGCTTTCATTTGTTCCTTAAAATCGTTTGACATTTTTTTTCCATTCGGTCATCCCATTCCCTTTTAAGTGCCTGAAGTAACTGTGGTGGTGTGTCTAGAGAAACTTTTTCCTCATCCATTAGAGTTCTGATGGTACTATAGGTGCCCTGAAGGAATTGGCGAATGTCATTCTCTGTTATGAAGCCCTTTTCCTCTCGTAATTTAAGGATGGCTGTGGCTCTGTGCTGACCAATTCCTTCGAGTTCAAGTAGGTCCTCATAAGACGCAGTATTCAAATTTATAGCAGGCATTATTCTATTGATTTTAAATCTTACTCAGATACTTGTATGTCCAAAATGTCTTCTGGTAAAACTCTGAAACAACTTTTGTTAATGTCCTCAGTCAATCTTCTGCTCCAGATCAAGGCTAATTCTGTACCTGGATGGATGCCGTCATAAAAAACAGAAAATTTGTAAGAAATTCTTACACCGTTGTTCTTCTTCTTGCAATTGTCTGAGTCCTTGCCTGAATTTTTACATAACATATTGATATGCGTACCATCTTCACACAGAATCAATATTATCGATCCATCTTTTCAGCCCTAATGGCTCCTTCTAAATTTTACTGGAGTTAAAGAAAAAAGAAATTGAATAAATGTTTGAAACTGTGATCATTAATTTGACATTAAAAAGCAAAATTATGTTATAAGTTACTACCTTTTTCATTGATGCAAGTACTTTTCAAGTTTAAGTAGTGTCAATTTTTTTTGTTTTACCTTTAAAAAAATAATTGCTTTGAAACTTGTTGTAATACAATTTGTTCTTCAAGTTTGTATTCTGTATATTTGTATGTGCGATGTACACGTAATTGTACAAAGTTAACAAAACAGTAGTTAGAACTGTATATACATTGTATTTTTAACATTTTGCATTCTTGATATTGGAATTAATAACCTTCTAACTTTATTATTTAAAGCTGAACATGATTCGTAAAAGCAATGTGTCCGCCATTTTTGTTCGGATTCTCGCTATATCTGAGGACCCCTACATAAAGGGCCTGACTTGGACACTGTTCAGTATGATCAGTCGACATCTGTGTAGATGGACGTATGCTATACAGCACTCGGTAGCGACA